ATCGCTGCTATAGCAGCGATTTTGTTTAAGAAATTTTATTTTAAAAAAAATAATAATCTTACCCTTGCAGAGAATTTAATAAAAATTTAAAAAATAAATAAAACTGAAGCCGGCGATTTTCATAGAAAGTTTTTTTAAAAAAAATCTTTACCCTTTCAGCGATTTAAATGAAAAATAAATTAAAACTGAAAATGGCTGCTTCGATATCGATTTTTTCTTTAAAAAACTTGTTTTTTTTTAAATGGCTGCCGCTGGAAATTTATGTAATTTAAAACTTGTTCTTTATGTTTTTTTTTAATTCCTTAACAAAAAATCGCTGCCATAGCAGCGATTTCACTTTTAATTTATTTTTTTATAAAAACGCTGCTATAGCAGCGATTTTAAAGAAATAATGATTTATTTTTTTTGAGAAAATCGCTGCCAAATACAGCGATTTTTATTTCTTTTAACGGAACGACGTCAATTTTTGTTAGAAGAAAATCGATCCGCCAGGAGGGATTCGACCCTTTTGGTTAAATTTTTTTTTGATGTGCCCTTTTTGTTTTTTGAAGGAAAAAAATGACCCTTTTAGCTTCGGACTCCCTTTTTGTTGATATTTTAATTCATTAGAGTAATAAGGTAACCATATTGTCAAACTACAAAGGATATAATGTTTTTAAAGAATTTTAAAAAAATGTTAATAATAAAAAAGGAATTAAAAAATAGTTAATAATAAAAAGGAATAATGTGACATGGCATCCTATTAGGAGAGAGATAATATTTTTGTTGTCAAGTATATTTTGAGGAAAGAGGTAAGTTGGGTGATATTGTGGTCCTAAAACAAACATAAGTGATATTCCTAGGTAATTTCCCAAACATGGGTGACTATCCAGGGAAATTACTCGCCAAATTAATAATGCACTAGTAAAAATGACTGAGGGAGTAACTGTAAAGCAAATATAAATAATGTTTCGATTGTAATGTTGAACTTCGAGTAAAAAATTATTTATTAATCATTACGTATGAATTACTCTTTATGTTCAAATTTATTTGTTCAATATTGACTTGACATAATTCTTAAAAAATAACAAATACCATAGTAATTTTATTGTAACACTTCTATTCTAGTACTCCCTCCGTCCCTATTTAGTTGTCCATATTTCCTTTTTTAGTTGTCCCTATTTAGTTGTCCATTTTGACAAATCAAGAAAGGACAACAAATTTTTTCCTATTATACCCTTATTTACACTTCTTGAAAATTTCTAAAAGTGTATGTTGTTTCCCTCCAATTTATTTCACTTGAATTCAAAGAAGTGGTTGTAATTTTGAAGTGAAAAGTTGTCATAAGGGTAAAATTGTAACTTCACTGCGCTAATCATTGTTGCCTTAATCTGTGTGCCATTTCTAAAGTGGACAACTAAAAAGGGACGGAGGGAGTATTTAGTATAACATGAGAAATAAATAAAAGTCGTACTTAATGATTAATAAGAATAATGAGTAGTAACTTGTTCGATCTGGTGAGAGAGCACTTCCATACAAAGAATAAAAAGGTAGGGGGACATAGGGGATCCTTGGCGTAGACCCTGGAGGATTGGAAGAAGTCAGTACGAGTCCCATTTATTAGAATAACATTTTTACTTGTGCAAATACGAGACATAATGAGGTTAATGATGTTCATAGGGAAGTTGTAATATTGAAGGGTGTGCCTTATGAATGACCATTTAATTCTATCGAAAGCTTTCTATAGGTCAATTTTTGCCTATAGAACTAATTCAACTAATATTATATTTATTATTTATTATTTAATTTAAAGTCTTAAATATGAAATATTTTATACTTACTAAAATTTTATACTAAGACAATAACACAATTGAGTCGGTAAAGAAAAGAATAACCAACTACATTTTCAACTAGAAAAAGATTAGGAAAAAAGTTACTAAAAACATGTTTAATCTTTAACCTACAATGTAATGGATTAAACTCTTTAGTCCCAAATAGAATAAGATAAAGGAAAAAAGTTACTAAAAAATACGTTAATCCGAAGTAGAATAAGTTTAGGAGGGGGAAAAAGCATTATAAATACTTACTTTGAGAAGCCATTAAGCATTCACAAATAAACTACTCATCAAAATCAAAATCCATCGATCATCTAAAAATAATTCGTCAAGTATGATGTGGAAAAAGCTTAAGGTGTTGGGAGCTGGTTCTTACGGAACTGTGTCTCTTGCAACGCCGTTACCACAATACTATTCGGGAATTGCAATATATGGAGCTGTTAAATCAGCTGAAGTTGCTCATTCGTCTTCGCTCCGAGTAGAAGGAAAAATATTGGATGAGTTGAAAGGTTCTGATTATGTAGTTGAATGTATCGGAGAAGATGTGAGCATAGAAAACGATAAGCACACTTATAACCTCATGCTTGAGTATGCGGCCGGTGGAACTTTGCATGATTTAATTCATAACCCGTTGAATTTGATTATGGGGGAATCAGAGGCTGCTTACTATAGTTTTCAAATCTTAACCGGAATTTCTCATATTCATCGTAATGGCTACATACATTGCGATCTGAAACCAGTAATGGTTACATCCATTGCGATCTGAAACCGGCTAATATACTTGTTTTTCCTCGTGCACAACTTGATGTTCCAGATTTGAAGTTGGCTGATTTTGGATTGTCGTTGAGAACAGCTGAATCACTTACATATAGGGCAGAACGTTCGAAGAATAGTAACTATCATAGCCATAGAGGAACTCTGATATACGCAGCCCCTGAATGTTTAGTGTATGGGATTCACGGTAGAGCCGTTGATATTTGGGCACTTGGCTGCATTGTGGTGGAGATGCTTACTGGGAAGCGGTTATGGCCTGTACATAAAAACAAGGATGAATTAATGTTCATGATTGCGCATCAAAAACCAGAGATTCCAAAAAATATATCAGATGAAGCGAAGGACTTTTTAAGCAAGTGTTTGGAAAAGGATAACTGTTTGAGATATAGTGCTGATTTGTTGCTTGATCATCCATTCATCAAGAACAGTTGTTATAAGAAGCTGATGGAAGATCGATTAATGTATCCTTATGTTCGTCTAGGATGCAGAGATTGGGTTTCTTCAGAGCACTTGTTTTCAACAATCAGTCCTCGTGACTGCAACTTGAGAGGATCAATGTCTGCTATGTAAGAGGGGCCTCAAATTGAATTTGAGAGACTTACATGTATATTAACTCGTGAATCTCTAACAAAACTGATTGATAGCTTACTGGTAATGAATGGGTCGTGGAAATGCTTGTTGTTCTTTTTAACTCGATGAAGTTGTGCTTCTGATCTGCAAGGACATTTTTTGGGATTAACTTTTCTACCAATTGGAGGCCTTCTTCCAGTTATGTTTAGAAAATATATTTGAAGTTATAAATTTTCATTTTATAGGTTTTAATGTGATCTTCTTTATGCAATTGTAGTTGGTTTGATGAAATGAAGAGTGTAAGATAGATATGGCTTTTGATAATGTTGACTTTGATCTATACTTTTATGTCTTTTATTAGCCTACATTGACTTTGCCTTATTAGTGAACATAAAAAGGAAAATGCTTAATTTCTTAAAATTGTTTCTCTGTTTATAATTGGTAACTACTTAATAGTTATTGCAGTCATTTGGTATGAAAAATATGCATTTAGGAATTAAGTTATTCAAATATATACAATAATGTATACAACGTTAGTGTTGTAATGACAAATATACTTGTTTCCTATCCGACATATATAACTAGGGTTGTTCAAAACTGAACCGAAATCGATAATCCGAATCGAAAAAAAGTTATTGATTTATTAGTATTATTGATTTAGCGGTTTTGATAACGGTTTTGATTTATTTTTTATCGGGTTATCGGTTCTTAACGGTTTGAAGTTTTTTCTTAACGGGTTAACCGATAACCCGATAGTAAATTAAATAATTATATTTATAACATTTTGTATATAAAGTCCTTGACTTAGAGTTTGGTTTCCTATTTTTATTTCTGATTTGTCTCAAACACTTGGTTATTCTACAATGTAAAAATGTTTGTTTTTTAACAAGATGTAACTTGTGGACTCATGTGCATGGTTCATTTGGTTTGTCACCTTGTTTCTAAGTGATTTTCAATGGTTTTTGTGTGTCAAATCTTAACGGTTAAATCGATGACGATCAAAAATCGATAAACCAATAATCGATATGCCAATATCTTAATGGTTCGATAACGGTTTAGCATCTCTACAAACCAATAACCAATAAGCCAAACCTAACCTCAAAATCGAACCGAACCGACCGATATGCAACCCTATATACAACTACAATAAAACCTCATTAAACTAATATATGTGGACTATTAAATATTATTATTTTGTAGAGATATTATTTAATCGATAAATTAATATTTATTAATTTAAGGAGTATTTCGACACCACAAAGTTCGTTCAGGGATGAAAATTTCAGAGAATTTGAATGAACACACTTATGATAACGCTATTCATGAACTTGAGGTCATGATTAATGATTTATATTATCGCAATAAAATGGACGTCAATAACCTGTTGGATGGGTGAAAATAATGCATGTTTAGAGGTCCAGAGCTTAAAAAAATTGTGGATATATACCATTAGAAAAAATGTTGATGATAAAGTTGAAGATGAAACAATACCTTTGGAACGAGTTACGTGTAAAGAAGCATTTATCGCATCTAGAAATTTTCACAATTTTATGGTGCAGTTCGAAAAGACAACAGTGATACAATAAGACAAGTTATAGATGAACTTCAAGTAGATTTAAATTTTAACCAAAAACAAAAAACAATAGAATCATATTTCACTAAATTGTCTTAGGTATATTTGTACATTTAAAGAATTATTAATTTATAATATTAATGGGACCACATATTTATATATGGGTCTTTTGAAAATATATTATCTTATCGAAATAAGTGATTTTTTCATAGCACTTGAATCAATTCAACAATATTTATCTGTATTACCAAAACATCTAATACCTAATAACTAAACTCATCGTTCAGTTTTACGTATTCAGTTTTAATTACGTACGAATGAACTTTATAATATATAGTAATGAGAAAATGGTCAAAAGCCCCCCCAACCTATAGCCGGATTTTCAACTACACACTCATACTTTACGGGTCCTATTACCCCCCTGAACATTTTCAAAGTAGAATATATAACTCCTTAATAACTCACCCCAGATTCATATTAAGTAGTGCTGGACACGCGCCCACCACGTAATATATATTTGTTTTAATGTATAAAAATCAATTATTTTGTTTTCTTTCATCTCCAGGCATGGCATCAGCCACCGGCCGGAGATTTTTCATCCATTTTCATCCAAATTTCTTTGATTCAACCTTTAAAAATCCCTACTTTTTTTCAATAATCGCCTAATTACCCTTCAAAATCTCAATTTCTACACCATTTCCTGTTTTTCTCTCGATATTGATGAAATTTCACTCAAAATCATTAACAATTTAATAGCTTCAAAAAGTCGGTCAATTTTGGGGATTAAATTTTTAGATGCAATTAGTTTAGTTTAGTTGGGTTGATATTGCAAGATTTTTGTACTATTTGATATTTATTGTAGATTTGATAGTCAAAGTTTTATCAGATCTGAAATAGGAAGGTAGATGCAATACCTAACTACTTAAATTTTGTGTTTATGCTTGAATCTGCATCTCCTACTTTAAAAATCTTGAAGCTACAAAGGAAGTGGCAATGGTGATTCACAACAAAATTGATGGTTGATGGGTCTGTTCTCACTTAGTGGAAGGCCGATGAAGACGAAGAATTGGTGGTGGATGAGTGAAGTTCACATGGTGCCGCCGCCGTTGCAGCCCATGTTGTTGTTGTTGGTGTTTCTTGTTAAAGAGAAAGAAGAAAAAGGACGTTAAAAGTAAAATAAATAAAATAAAAGGAAACATAAAAAAAATAAAAAAATAATAATGAAAAAAAAGAAACACTTATAAAGTTAAAGTTTTATTATTTGTTTTTGCTCTCACTCTCTCAAAGAGTGAACTACACATTCATTGCCACCTCAGCACATAAAGAGCACATAACTCCATTTTAAAATAGTCTAAGGGGATAATAGGACCATCCTAAAGTATGAGTGTGTAGTTGGAAATTCGACTATAGGTTGGGGGGAGGGGGGGTTGACTATTTTCTCTGTAGTAATATATGAAAGAAACACTTTTAGCTTCGGTCCATTCTATTGAAAAGAGTTAATAGTTCTTAATTTTTAGAGTTAATAGTTCATCTAATAATTGTCTCAATAAAATGATGTTTTTCAATGTTGAATTGATAAAATCTTACTTAAAAATAATAATTAAAAAAAAGTATTTGAAAAAGTCATTTATAAAAAAGATATTAAAGTAATAATTTACATCTAAAAATCAAAAAAATAAATAAATAAAAATAAAATTTATTTAGATTTTAGACCTCTAATTAAAATTTCGCTTTAGGCCTCGAATTATGTTGAGTCGCCCCTGGACCAAAATTACTATTTTCCGTAATTATATGGCAAAATGGTCTGGTGGACACTTGTACTTGTATGAGTTTGTATTATAAATCCTTCTACTTACCTGTTTGTCAATTGAACCCTTAAATTCAACAAAACACAATTTAACAAACCCCTTTGACCATTGACCAGGCTTATGTGGCGGTAGATATCTGAGTTGGCAAAAATGTGTAACTACACGCCTATTAAGGCGAGTGAGGAGCTTTTTACTTGAAAAATATTAAAAATTATAAAAGATATAATTTTTTAAAACCATTAATTAAAAAAACCTTCTTCTTCACCCATAACACCTCCTTTCAGCCATGTCCATCCCTACCCAACCCCTTTTACTTTCTTTTCCAGAAGTTATTTTCATCTATTTAGATGATCTTGGACACCTCCTTGAGTCCACTAATTATCGACGGAGGGAGAGAGCGGCACTGGTGGTGCTCGCCGGACACCACTGATATGCAGTGGAGGGAGAGAGAGAGAGGTGTGGCTGGTCAGTGGAGAGGAGAACAAAGTGAGTGAGGGTGCGAGGATTTAATCATGGCGGCGAAAATGGTGATGATGTGCGGCGGAGATGAAGGCGAAAATGGTGATGGTGTTCGGCTAGATCTGATATGGTGGCTTAGGTTGTCGATTTTGTGGAGGTTGGAGGAGGAAAGGAAAATGGTGACGATGAAGGCGGAAGGAATATGAGTGCCTTCGACGGCAAAAATGGCTACGACGGCGACGGCTTGGTTCACGTGAACAAGTGGGAATGGAAGAAATTGTAATGGCTTTTACTTTAAAGAATATAATTAAATTTCTATTATTTTACCTTTAATTAAACAATTTTGATTAATAATTTTAAAAATAATTATGACATGGCATTAATATATTGATGTGGATATGACATGTCATTTATATAAAGGAGAGTGAACTACACACATGATTGGAGGGATTTAAAATGCTTATTTTGATTAAGTTTAAGAGTTCAGTTAACAAATAATTAAATAAAAGGATTCACAATACAAACGTATACAAGTATAAGGATCCATCAGATCATTTGGCCTAATTATATTGGCGACTTTTGCCGCTCATATATAAATGTACCTGAAAGCCTGACCCGCTTCACTTCCCGTCTTCTCCGGTATATATCAGTTGTCCACATCGCTCTCTGTTTTATCCTCCTCTTCTCACTGTACAAAAAATGCAGGTAAATTAACATCAATTTCGATTAATATCTCCTTTTCTATCAATTTTGCTCCCCTTTCTTTACCAAAACCCTAATATGTTTTTCCTCTTTGGTGTATATGTTTTCAATTTCGATTTTTATGTCCTTTCGTAATTTTTAATTTCATGTGCAACTTACGTATGTTTGTGAATTTTTATTTTTACCTTCATATTCAAATTTGATTATTATCTTCCAGATCTCCACGAACACCCGATTTTTTCTTCCCATAACCCTAATTTATTTTGTGTAGCTCAGTGTACATGCTACTGTAATTTTTCTCTGTTCGTCGAATATACAGTTGATTAATGCGTGTATACAGGCTAGTGACAGGTTCAATATCAACTCCCAGCTTGAGCACTTGCAAGCTAAATATGTTGGAACAGGACATGCCGATTTGACTAGATTGTACGTTGCCTACTTTTGCATTTTTTGGAATT